GCACGCACGCACGTACGTGTACACACATGTACACACACACACGCACCACGCACGTACGTGTACACACACACACACGTACGCACTGTACACACCCGCATGGATGCACACACATGTGCACACACGTGTACACACCCGCATGGATGCACACACATGTACACACACACACACCCAACGGCACGTGACACACACATCCACGCACGTGTACACTCACACACACGCAACGTGTTACACACCACACACACACACAACGCACGTGTACACACCACACGTAGCGCACGCACGCACGTGTACACACCGCATGGATGCACACACGTACGCACCACACACGTGTACAACACCCGCATGCATGCACACACATGTACACACACACACGCACGTGTACACACACACACACACACCGCACGCACGCCACGTGCACACACCCGCATGCATGCACACACATGTACACACACCCACGCTACGATGCTATCCTGCATGCACACACATGTACACACACCCACGCACGCACGCACGCACGTTCACACACACACATGCTGCGTGTATGTTGTTGGTATGTGTGAGTTATGCTGCTAGGGGCGTAAATCCCGGGGGAGTGGGGGATGCATCCCCCCACTCTTGAAGGAGGGGGATGCCTGTACAAATATCCCCCTGAGATTCAAAAAAGAGAGAAAAAATAGAAGAGCCAAAAGTATGGTTCCAAACATAAAAAACACGTGAATTGTGGAGAAATTGCAATTCTTACTGTGTTTTTAATACAATGTATTATTACTATAGTAACCTAACTGTGTACGCTCTCTGAAAGTCATAGAAAGTGTTTTGAATCCTAACTTGTAGGGTCTGAGTCTAGGGTTGAGATAGTGTCATCAGACATGAGAATATGGCCCACAGTATGCCTCAGATTGCAGGAAAATGGCTTAAATATTTCAAAATTTTCTGGGGAGGGGGGCATCCCCCCATCACCCTAGCACTGACATGCCTACGGCATGCAGGCCTGCCTGCGGTAGCCAAGGTTAATTTCGCCTCCGACTATCGCTGATCACCCCCCCACTCCTCGGTACGGATTTACGCCCCTGTATGCTGCTATGATTCCTGTAGTCTCCTCACTCATTATTGTGTCGTTACAGCATGACTTTGATCAGCACATTGCAGCGTTGAGGACTGGCTGTTTACTCGATAACCTACCACCACTGTGCCTAGCCACACTGCCTGGACCGCCACCACAGATCTGCATCCCCTGGGTAGGTCATACGAATCCTCTCCACACACCCAGCAGTTTGTGCTACTGGCGCCCGTCTATAGCTCGCATTTTCGCGATTTCAACTCTGTGCTCGGTGACAACAAACGGTATGATGTTTGAATTCGTTTATCTCGAATTATTTTAAATTCACGTTAATTTCATGTTAAATTCACGTGACGCACCCGCCACGTCGGTCGACGAAGCGTCTCCTTGGCGGCAGCGTGCGCGTACGTTGATGCTTACGTTGTCGCTGTCTGTACAGGATAGCGTGCTGCCTGCTTGCCCTGCCTCGATCGCCTGCCCACCAGCCACCAGCGGGTCTACTACGCTACCAGCCGCAGGTGTTCTCCCAGTCAGCAGCATCGCTTGCACAGGTACCGGTGACCGCGATACGTTGATTGTAGCATCTGTTATGTGTTGCGCAGCCACAAAGTCAGAGCGAAAACCAGAACCAGTGGAGAACTCTTACGCAAGCATTTATTTAGCTACATAACCGTGTGCTCCATGCCCTGTCCACTGCCTAACCGCCTCCTGTATACACGTGTACGTTATACTAGGGCTGTAACGATACACAAGCCTCTCGATTCGATCCGTATCTCGATTCGATTCCTTTGATTCGATTCCCAAAATATTGAAATGTTATCTTATTTTTTATATTTTCATTATTTTGCAATAAAAACTCTTAACCAACCAATTTGATTTTGGATTTACAAATAACTTTTAAGGACATAATTAAAATAAAAAACACGAGCAGTCACGTCTAGACTGATAGCCTGTAACATATTGCATGTGCTGTAGCCGCTGATTAGCTGACTGGCGAGTCAGGACTATTGACCAATCAGAGGCGGGCGTCTCATACACCTTCGGCCGATCACACAGTATGAAGTACGGTGGGCATATGTTTCCATGAACCAAAGTATCCTCGTGACGTCAGTGTACGTCAGTGGCTATCTATACACCATAGATAGTGTTTGGGATACCAAGATAGTATATATATAAGATAGCCGAGTCGGTTTATAGTTAGTGTTAGGGTTAGAGTTAAGGGTTTTTGCATCATTCTTTGATATACGGAAAGTCTGATGCGGAAGTTGATATGCGTAGCATGGAATATGACCATGCGCAACCACCATCACCATCAGCAGGCTGTATGCATTCAACTTTGGAGATAGCCGAGTTCGTACGTCACGAGGATACTTTGGTTCGTGGAAACATATGCCCACCATGAAGTACTATACTAGCGGGTTGGATCGGATCAAAAATACGGGAAAAAGTATCGAGGATCGGATCGAGGGAAGAGAATCGCGATTCGATTCGATTTCGGTGGATCGTTACAGCTCTACGTTATACCTATCTAGTGCCACGTGTGTCGCCATCTAGTGGCTGACTTGGTTATTACAGTTATGTATTACAACACTTAACAGCGTCGTTCCACCAACTGGTTGAAACTAGTTTATCACGAATAAATGTCCTGCATTCAGTTCAATCACTCTTTCATTTTTTACTTGATTTTAATTACTCTCCAATACTGATAACACAGCAGGAGCTGTATGTATTTGTATATACATATATATATATATATCAGAGTAGATAATAGGGAAGGAGTGTGACATCAATAAACAAGGGAAATTCGTCATTTAGCCTGAAAATACCTACGATTTACTACGCGTAACTCATCCAACTGAGCTCAAATCGTACACAGTACACTTCGCCTAGGCATCGTGCGAAATCGTTTCCTCGTTTACACAAAGCAATCCGGGAGATCACAGACTAAACGTACGACACGATTATCCATTCTTTGGACCATCAATCAAGCGCCATTGCCCGCCTCTATTCAAAACAAAGGCAGCTACCTAACGCGCTATTGCTAACTCGGCGAGGCATGTGGCTCGCTGGGAAGATTTTAGCGGCATCAAACACTCGGCGAGATTACCTTTTGACCCGGTAACACAGCTACAACAGCATTACCGCGTACAGCAAGCCACGTCTCTGCACATACCCTCACGCCACGACGGAGCTAATCACGCCAACCGCAATCAAGCAGCACTGTCGGGCTCAAATCTCGCCAGCGAGCCACATTGCTCGCCGAGTTAGGAGAGCTGGATGTTAGGTAGCTGCCTTTCTGTTTTAAATAGAGCGCGGCAATATGGCTTGGATGATGCCAGAAGAGAGATGGTATCGTGTCGGTACGTTTTAGTCTATCTCTCCGGATCTGCGCTTTGTGCTAAACGAGTGAAACGATTTCGGCACGATGCACTACGCGAAGGTACTGGTGTACGATGAGCTCAAGTTGCATGAGTTGGCGTTAGGTAAATCGGTAGGTTTTTCAGGCTGTAAATGACGGAATTTCCCTTGTTTATTGATGTCATCACTCCTCTCCCTATTATCTACTCCGGATATATATATTATTATATATACATATAATATATATTATAATATGTATATATAACAATATATATCATATCTATACATATATCAATATTGTAGAGTGATACCTCGCTCAAAAGTGGGTCTGCATGCATGTAGAGACACAGCCATGCAGCTTACACAACGTTGGTTACATCCCAAGTTAATTGTTGGTTCACCTCTTAGAGAATAAATCGTAGTCCAAAAGTCTGAGATTAATTATTTTGAATTTGTGTTTGTCTATCATCGGGGATGGGGGGGAATTTTGGTTAGGCCATTCTCATGAGGGTTGTTATTTTCTGCGATCACGAAAATTACGAATTGATTTCCAGATGCGCCACGGCTGCCCGTGTAACCACAGATCAGGTGGAGCTCACGCGCTGGCACAGTGCATCAACCACGATAGGTGGAGCCACGGACGCGACGTCATCAATACACAGGTAGCTGGCGCCAAGGCGCACACGCACAACAGGAGATTGAGGTGGAAGCGCACGGACTGCGCGATGCACAAAAAGAGACTAGTGA